ATATATTAAATGAAATTAAAAGTCCAGTTTCTCAGTCATACTAACCCCATTTCAAATGCTTAAAAACCACGTGTACCAAAAACTACCCACAGAGAAAAGCCCAGTTCCAGTTCGTTCCACTGGTTAATAATTCTGCAACTACTTAAAGAATTAATACCAGTTCTTCACAAACTCTTCCAAAAAAGAGAAGAGGGACTACTTCCCAACTCATTCTATGAGGTCAGCATTACTCTGATACCAAAACCAGACAAAAAGTTATATGAGAAAACTTCAGACCAGTATCTCTAATGAATAGAGACACAGAGATCCTCAGCAAAATACTAGAAAATGTGATACACAAACCATGACCAAGTGAGATTTATGAGGAATGCAAAGTTGGGTTAACATATGAAAATGAATTAATGTAAGGCACCATGCCAATAAAGTAAAAGACAAAAACCACATGATCATCTCAATATATGCAAAAAAAAAAAAAAGGATTTAGCAACATGCAAAACATCTTGACGATAAAAACACACTACAAACTAGGAGCAGAAGGGAACTTCCTCAATATGATATATAGGACATCTACAAAAAATCCACAGCTAACATCATACTTAATGATGAAAGATTGAAAGCTTTTCCCCTAAAATCAGGAACAAGACAAGGAAGTTTACTCTCACAACTTCTATTCAGGGTTGTACTAGAGTTTCTAGCCAAGCAATTTCAGCAAAAGTTAAATAAAAGACATCTAGATTAGAAAAGTTTGCAGAGGACAGACCTTGTGTATAGAAAATCCTATGGAATTTATGAAGAACCTATCAGAAATAATAATGAGTTTGGCAAGGTTGTAGGGTAAAAGATCAATAGATGAAAAGCAATTGTATTTTTATACATTTATAAAGACCAATCCCAAAAGGAAATTAAGAAAACAATTCCACTGGGGTGCTTGGACTGCTTAGTCAATTAAGTGTAAGACTCTTGATTTTGGCTCAAGTCATGATCTCATGATCGTGAGATTGAGCCCCACATCAGGCTCCGCATTGGACATGGAGCCAGCTTAAGATTCTCTTTCTCCTTCTCCCTCTGCCCCTACCCCCTCTCTAAAAAACAAAAGAAAACAATTCCACTTACGAAAGCACCAAAAAAGAACAAAATGTTTAGAAATAAATTTAACACAAAAAGTGAAAAATGCATACTATGAAACTAGGAAACTTTCTTGGAAGAAAATAAAGATCTAAATAAGAGGAAAAGCATCCAATGTTCATGGATCAAAAGAGATAATGTTGTTAAGTTGGCAATACTTCCAAAACTGATCTACAGGTTCAATGCAATCTCTATCAAAATTACAACTGGCCTCTGTGTAGAAAAATTGACAAGTTCACCCTAAAATTCATAAAACATTCTTTTTTTTTTAAAGATTTGATTTATTTGACACACAGAGATCACAAGTAGGCAGAGAGGCAGGCAGAGAGAGAGAGAGGAGGAAGCAGGCTCCCCACTGAGCAGAGAGCCCGATGTAGGGCTCGATCCCAGGACCCTGAGATCATGACCTGAGCCGAAGGCAGAGGCCTAAACCACTGAGCCACCCAGGTGCCCCTCATAAAACATTCTTGAAGAAGAATAAAGAGGATTCACACTTCTCAATTTCAAAAACTCACTACAAAACCACAGTAATTAAGACAGTGTTGTACTAGCATAAGAATTAACCCAGGGGGCACCTGGGTGGCTCAGTGGGTTAAAGTCTCTGCCTTCAGCTCGGTCCTAGGATCGAGCCCCACATCAGGCTCTCTGCTCGGCGGGGAGCCTGCTTCCTCCCCACTCTGTCTCTACCTGCCTCTCTGCCTACTTGTGATTTCTGTCAAATTAAAAAAAAAATCTTAAAATAAGAAGAATTAACATGTAGATCAATGGAGCTGACTTAAGAGTCCAGAAATAAATCCACACATTTGTAGTCAAGTGATTTTCAACAGCTGATTTTCTTTTTTTAAAATTTTTAAATTGATTAATTTTGTTGTTTTGTTTTTAAATATTTAATTTATTTATTTATTTGACAGAGAGAGAGAGAGAGATCACAAGTAGGCAGAGAGAGAGAGGAAGGAAGCAGGCTTTCCGCTGAGCAGAGAGTCCGATGTGGGGCTCAATCCCAGGACCCTGGGATCATGACAGGAGCCGAAGGCAGAGGCTTTAACCCCCTGAGCCACCCAGGCACCCCTGTTGTTTTGTTTTGACAGAGAGAGATCACAAGTAGAGAGGCAGGCAGAGGGGGAGAGGGAAGCAGGCCTCCTGCTGAGCAGAGAGCCCAATGTGAGGCTCGATCTCAGGTCCTGAGATTGATCCCAGGACCCTGAGATCATGACCTGAGCCAAAGGCAGAGGTTTAACCCACTGAGCCACCCAGGCACCCCTTAACAGCTGATTTTCTAAAACATATCTAGAGGGAGTCTTTTCAACAGATGGTGCTGGGACAAGTGGATATCCACACACAAAAGATTGAAATTGGGCCCACTGTGGGGGGTCCCAAAGGTTCTTTTTTTTTTTTTTTGAGTTTATGAGTTCTTTATGTATCTAGATATAAGTCCCTATAAAGAATGTTCTAAAAAGGAAAAACAGGGGCGCCTGGGTGGCTCAGTTTGTTAAGCTTCTGCCTTCAGCTCAGGTCATGATCCCAGAGTCCTGGGATAGAGTCCCATGTCGGGCTCCCAGCTCCATGGGGAGTCTGCTTTTCCCTCTGACCGTCTCTCCTCTTATGCTATCTCTCGTACTCTCTCTCAAATACATAAAGTCATTTTAAAAAAAGAAATTAAAAACAAAATAAAAAGGAAAAACATAATTCTGTGGTTCTCAAAGTGTGGTCCCAAGAGTAACACTAGCAGCATCACCTGGGTGTACGATAGGGAAGCATATTCTTGGTCCCCACCCCATACTTCCTCAATCAGAGCCCTGGGCCTGGGCCCAGAAATCTGTATTTTCACAAGATCTCTGGAGCACACTCAAGTTTGAGAACCATTGGCATAATGCAGTATAAAAAGAAAGGCAGGACTCCAGCCATAGCATGGACAAAGCTAACATGTACTGGGGGCTGACCATGCCTACCCAAGAGCTCATGTAGTTTTCACAACCACCTTGTGAGCTGTTGGTACTACTGTTACCTCCATTTGACCGACCAGCAAACGGAGGTGCAGAGAAGTGAAGATAATTGCCTGAGATCCTGAATTCATGAATGGCAGAGCTGGGACCTGAAGGCCAGGCTTCTCTGCCTGCAAAGCCCATGCTATTAACCACCATGTCAGCATTTTCCTGAGCGTGGGCTACAAACATCACTGGCAGGGATGGGATGGAATAGAATAGTCTCAGAGAATACAAGGATGCTCACTTCGAGCTCCAAAGGTTATGCACTGATCTCCCCCAACTTACGAAAGGGTTATGTCCGGATAAATCCATCATAAGTTGAAACTATCTAAAGTCGCAAATGCATGTAATACCTCTAACCTACTGAATGTCATTGCTTAGCCTAGCTTACCTTCAATGTGCTCAGAACACTTAACATTCACCTGCAGTTGGGCAAAGTCAGAGATTTATTTTACAATAAATAAATTTTACAATAGAGTCTATTTTACAAGACTGTGGAGTATCTCATGTAATTGATTGAATACTGAACCGAAAGTGACAAACTTGTATGGCTAGAAGGGTTGTGTGTCCATTGTTGACTCTCACGCTGGCAGGGCTTGCTGGGAGCTGTGGTTGGCTGCCCCTGCCTAGCGTCACAAGTGAGGATAGCACATATCGCCAACCGGGAAAAGATCAAAATTCAAAACTCGAAGTACAGCTTCTGCTCAATAGGCCCTTGCTTTCACACCACGGTAAAGTTGAAAAATCTAAGTCAAACCATTGTAAGCCAGGGACTGTCTGCTTTTATTTTAATGTTTTGTAGGAAAAAAATATGTAACTAGCATTTCAAACCCATTATTCCAAGGGTCCCTTAAAAGATTTATATTCAAGGGTGGCTCAGTGAGTTAAGCTTCTGCCTTCGGCTCAGGTCATGATCCCAGGGTCCTGGGATCGAACCCTGCATCAGGCTCTCTGCTCGGTGGGGAGCCTGGTTCCCCCTCTCTCTCTGCCTGCCTCTCTGCCTACTTGTGATCTCTCTCTCTCTGTTAAATAGATAAATGGAATCTTAGGAAAAAAAAAAAAGATTTATATTCAAAGTTGTTCAATGAGAGGCACCTGGGTGGCTCGGTCTGTTAGGCATCTGCCTTCGGCTCTGGTCAGGATCCCGGGATCCTGGGGATCAAGCCTGGCCTCGGGATCCCTGCTCAGCAGGGAGTCTGCTTCTCCCTCTCCCTTGGCTGCTCCTCCTGCTTGTGCTCTCTGTCTGTCAAATAAATAAGATCTTTTAAAAAATAAAATAAAATCTTAAAAAGAAGGGGCACCTGGGTGGCTCAGTGGGTTAAAGCCTCTGCCTTCAGCTCAGGTCATGGTCCCGGGGTCCTGGGATCAAGCCCCACGTCAGGCTCTCTGCTCGGCAAGGAGTCTGCTTCCTTCCCCACCCCTCTGCCTGCCTGTCTGCCTACTTGTGATCTGTCAAATAAATAAATAAAATCTTTTAAAAAAAATCTTAAAAAAAGAGGGAAGTGTATTAAACTCCACTTCCTACTTTGAAATACATTATGAAAATCAGAGACTCATTTGGATGGAGTGTTACATGTCATAAAGTAACTGCAGGGAGCTGAATGTTCCCCACAGAACTCAGGGGGTGGCTACACTTGTGCTTATTGTAGGAATTCTTTCAACCTCTATGTTTGCAAACTTACATGTTGGGGGAAAATATATGCAGATTGCATCATACAGTGAATGAATGAAATGAATGAATGAGTGAATGAATAAGTAAAGCCTCAAAGACCGGGCAGAAATCTGCTGAAATGCTTTCTTTATACTCTCCTGCATATATTTCAAAGCGGGTTTGTGTTACTCATATAACAAAAGAACATTTTGTTTCCAAGCAGAAAAATGGCACAGGAGTCAATTAATAAAATAGGCATTTATTCTGAGGATGTAACACCACGAAGAAAGTCCCCAAGGCCAGCCTGGGAGACGGCGAACACTGCCGGCTCGCTCAAAGGAGAACGGCACCTCTGCGTGTCTCTGCACCCCAGCTGCTCAGGCAAACCTGGGGCAGGGCTCATGGGTGAGTTCTGGGCTGTGCGCCTGCGGTCTGACTCGCCCGCCTGTCAGTGCAGGCCCAGATTAGTGTGTCCCATGTCCTGAGAAGCCGCAGTGTCAAGACAGGTTACAAAGGAAGTCGTGCAGGGGCAGGGCCAGGAGCCCCGACAGGGAGATTCCAAAAGTGTCAGAGATACAGGCAGCTGCCATGGCAAATTCCCGGTGCTCATCACTCGTCTGCGGAGGGCAGGAAGCAGGGGTGAGGCTTTGGTCCTAGCCGCCCCGGCCCAGGCCTTCCCCAGAGAGCAACCCCCCCAGCCGTCCCCGTAGCCCTGACCCAGCCCGTGCTGACCTCCAGGGCAATCTGGTGGAAGGTATTCACGTAGGCAGCACCTCCGAGAAGCCCCTCATACAGAACGACCAGGAAGACGAGGTAAATGCTGGGCAGGAAGCTCAACCACACGTCCACCAACAGGAAGGCCAGGTTGAGGCACTGGGGAGGCAGGAGGGGAGGGCTGAGCCTGGGACCAGAGGCTGCGGTCCCATCCAGTGGCCCCTGGTTCTGGGAGATGCTGAGGAGAGGGCTGACAGACCCAGATCAAATCCCAGCACCCCGCGGGCCTACCAGACCCTGGGATCTGGGGCAGGCCTTCTCCTGATCCTGTCCTGGCACCCTAGATGTCACAGGTCACTCTCCCAACTGCGCCTTGGCTCATGTCGTCCCTGGAACACTATTCTCCTTCCCTCACTTGGGATCTCCTGGTTACCACTGTCACGGCTCAGCTTGAAGCAGGACCCCTCCCACTCCTGGGCTCTCCTGCCTCCTCCCAAGGGTTCCCTGAAGAGAGAGGCCCGCCCCTCCCCCGCCATTTTACCAGACTGAGACTATGGGTGTCGACAAGCAGTTCTCGACTGGGAGTGATTTTTGCCACTCAGGGGACACTTGGCAATGGCTAAAGATGTTCTTGGCTGTCGTGAGTGGGGAGGGAGTGGGTAGAGGCCACGGATACCGCTCAGTTCTGCGGTGCACGGGACAGCCCCACAACAAAGAAGGATCCAACCCCAAATCAACAGCGCCGAGGTTGAGAAACTCTGGCTACAGCGTTCTCGTTTCTTTAAGGAGGACTCTCTGACCCCACCCAAGGGAGCAGGTCTCCCCTCTGTGCCCCAGTCCTCCACAGGACTGCAGTGTCCCAGGCCTGAGCCGTGGTGGCGCACATATTGGACTGCACAGACAGATCACTGGGAATCACGTGACCCACATAGGCCTTGCCCTCGAAGGTTCTAATTCATTAAGCCTGAGGTGAGCTCCGAGATCTGCCTTTAAAAAAGAACACACCCCCGGGGCCGCCTGGGTGGCTCAGTGGGTTAAGCCTCTGCCTTCGGCTCAGGTCATGATCTCAGGGTCTTGGGATCGAGCCCCGCATCGGGCTCTCTGCTCAGTGGAGAGCCTGCTTCCCCCTCTCTCGCCTGGGTGGCCCAGTGGGTTGGGCCTCTGCCTTCGGCTCTGGTCGTGGTCTCGTGGTCTCGTGGTCTCGGGGTCCTGGGATCGAGCCCCGGCAGGGAGCTTGCTTCCCCCTCTATCTCTGCCTGCTGCTCTGCCTACTTGTGGTCTCTCTCTGTGTCAGATAAATAAAAAAAAAAAAAAAAAAAAAAAACACATCCCAGCAATGCTAATGTGACTGGTGACACCCCGCTAATGCATCTGTCTGTGGCACGCGGCCAGGCGCTTTCTGTAATGGAATTCAATGATTATAAGTCTCTAATTCTATGGAAAATCATAAGCTATGCATTTCAGTGGCGTCTAACGAAGAACCCCTGAGTTCAGAATTGTTGACATGATTCAGGGCCTTTAGGCTGGCATCCCCACTCAGATCAAGAAGGAGAAAGCTGAAGGACAGTCACAGGGTCCTGCCGTAATAGTCAAAGGCAAACTATACTGGTTTCCACCTTTTTATCCTAGAATTGGGCTCAGTTTATTGAAAAGGGCTTTCCTGGACTAAAGGAAGGTTAATTTTGATAGTAACTTCCAGGGGCTATAGACTTGTGACCTTGAAGGCTGGTTCTGTGAAGCTACTTTGGTTGGACCATGGCAAGAACGGTGTGTGTTCGCTTAACACTGTACTACTTCCACCACAGGGAGTTAAATATGCTCACCAGCCTTGTGGTAAATGACCTGTTGGCTGTGACATCGTTGATTTTGTTGTAATGAACCACCCAGAATAAAAGAACAGCACTTTTTTTTTTTAACCCACAGAAACATTATTTGAAAGCCTGTGCCTCTGCACAAGGCTCGTGGAAATAAGGATTAAGAGCGTGCTTCCAGTGGATTAAAACGCTTCCCGTCTCTGGGTGTCACAACCACCCTGAGAAGTAGATGTTGGCCGCAGCCGGTTCACAGACGAGGCCATCTCGGCTCAGGTAGGTTCAGGGACCTGCCCGTCGTCACACAGCTACAGAGAACGGAAGCTGGGATTTGCGCCCGGGTTTTGCCGGGCTACCAAGGCCACATATTTTACACAGAGCCAGAGCCCTGCTGGCCTTCTGTTCCCTGTGCTCAGAATCTGACGGCGAGCAACACACTTCCTGGAGAAGTGGGAAGGAAGCCTGGGGTCTGGGAAGCTGGGAGCCAAGGTGGGAATGGAGGGAGGGCCGGGCTCGGTACCTGCAGCAGGGCCAGGACCCATGTGAAACGGATGCGACAGCAGCGGAGAGAAGAGCGGGAAACAAAGACACCGGCCTGGTAGAGCATCTGGTACCTTCAATGCGGGCAGGGAGGAGGAAGAAGCCCCTCAGCAGGGTGGCCGCGGCCACCCCCAGGCCCTAGCATCAAGGGCTCCCCGTCAGTCCCCCGCCCGTCCCGCCACCCACCCTCTCACCCTTCTTACCAGCGATACTGCTGAGCGTGACTCAGGGACGTGTTCCGGAAGAACAGGAGCTCAAACTGCAGCAAAGAGTGGACAGGGCAGGTGGTCGGAGACATGCGGGGCCCCGCCTTGACGGCTACTTCCACCCCCACCCCAGCAGCCCTCACTCACCAGTCCCTGATTGATGAAATACTCCGCGAAGTAAACCACCACCAAGGGAACGATGTATGGCAGCAGGCCCTGAAGAGTCAGAAGACATTTTAAGTGGAAGGCCGGCAGGCGGGCACCGGCCACAGGGGGGCGCCAGAGCCACCCAGCCATACCTTGAACACGGTCCACCTTTCCAGAAGGGAGAGGTTTGACTTGGAGTCTGCAGGGAGGGAGGGAAGGGCAGGTGAGGCTGGCACATGGACTCGGCAGAGGGGTGCTGGTGGGCAAGGACCAACCACATTCACACTCTCAGCGTGAATGCACTTAAATGCCACTGGACTGTACAACCAAAAATGGTTAAGGGGCGCCTGGGTGGTTCAGTCCCTTGAGCGTCCTACTCTTGATTTCAACTCAGATCATGATCTCAGGGTCTCAAGATCAAGCCCCCATTGGGCTCTGCGCTTAAGATTTTTTTTTCTCTCTGCCCCCCAAAATGGTTAAACTGGTAAACTTTACCACGATTTAAAAAAAGGGGGGGGATTAACAGGTGGGACCTCTCCATGGCTCTTGTACTGTCTGATAGCCATACATCTCCAACCCAGACACATTGGCCCCTTCCTTCTGCTTCTCGAACAGTCAAGCTCCTTCCCACCTCAGGATCTTAGCACATGCTGTTCCCCTGGCCTACAACCTGACTCCTTGTCATTCAAAATTCAGCCCAATGACCCCTCCTCAAAAAGGCCTTCACAGACCATGGCCTCTAGGTGGGACCCTTCTCTATCCCCCTGCCCAAGTTCCTAGCAGCAATCCCTGCTTTCTGTCTGGCCAGCACTTACCAAAGCTTAAAAAATAACATCTTTCTGATTTAGCTACTTCTTTATGAATGGGCCCCCTTTCCTCATCTCAGTCACCCGGTACCTACAGGGCTCATCAATCAGCACATGGTGGGGTGTCTGGGTGGCTCAGTGGGTTAAAGCCTCTGCCTTTGGCTCAGGTCATGATCCCAGGGTCCTGGGATCGAACCCTGTATCTCGCTTTCTGCTCGGCAGGGAGCCTGCTTCCCCCTCTCTCTCTGCCTGCCTCTCTGCCTACTTGTGATCTATCAAATAAATAAATAAAATCTTAAAGAAAAATCAGCACATGGTAAGTACTCACTGAGCAGTTTTTTTTTCTTTTTTTAAGATTTATTTATTTATAGCCCCAAGGCAGGGCTCGATCCCACAAACCTGAGAGGATGGCCTGAAACGCAATCTAGGACAAGACATTTAACCGACTGAGCCACTCAGGTGCCCCAGTGTGTAGCTCTTTAATAGATGAATACGACTGGCTCTTACCACAACCAGCACTGCTGTCCACCTGCCCTCCCGACCGCATCCACCACAGAGAGGAAAGGCTAATGCCCCTCTGGGGAGAGAGCGATGACTCCGAGGGACTCCTGGGTCTCCTACCTGGCTTTGACTCCGGAGCCTCGCTGTCTATCAGAGGCTGCCGTGCGGAGGTCTCTGCCTCCTCTTCCCCTCCAGGGTCCTGGGGCTCAGGAGGTGTGAGCAAACAGAAATAGCTAGAACGGGTGGGAGGAAGATGAGATCGAAGGCCCTCTGTCGGGCTGGAGGGGCCGCTCCCTCCCAGGGGAGCCCCCCCTCATTTCCTCACGCCTTGTCAGCCCCACACCCATCCTGTGCCAGAAAATTCCGACTGCAGAAAGGTGCTTCCTTCCTTAGAGCTGAAATTTGTCTCCTTGTTGTTGCTACCCGTGGGCCCGAACGCTACCCATTCAGCCTGCCGGCTCACATGGAGCAGGTCTACTCCGTTTTCTTGTCATTGTTATTCTAATGATCATTCCCTGTTCATTCTGTGCTGGGCCCAAACTTCTCCAATTTCAGTCTCTTCCAATAGAGACCGTGTCTACACTCGGCCACGTCTAGACTCCTCCAATATACTTTTTTTTTTTGCTTATGATTTTCTTTGAAATTGATTCACTTTATTTCTACACAGCCTCGTCCCAAGCAATCATCGGTGAAATCACAGGTCTGACCAGCTAGTTAAAATTTTTTCCCAATAGCCTCAAAATCAGTAAAAGAAAGTCCACCCCACCCCACCCCCACCCCAGCCAATCATCTCAGGATCCACTCCATACTGGATGCCATGTGCACGTCTCCCCATAGGGAAGCAAGGAGGGCTGGAGAGGTGAGGCACCCTATTCCACGCTATACAGCCAACACGCAGCAGCTCCAGAACTCAAACCAGTCCTCTCCCAGTCCAGAACCCACATGCCCTCTTTACGAGGCTGCTGGGATCTGGAGACTGGGAGCCTGATCTAGTTCTCCCCTCGGCTCCCTCATCTGCCCAGCCCAGGCAGCCTACCTGGCCAGCAGCAAAGCAGGGACACCCAGCATGGACAGCAGGGTGTGCTGCGGAGAGAGGCCCGCCTGGGTGAGGCCCAGATAGGACAGTGCTCCCAGCAGCCCTGCTCCCCCAGTGCCTGAGGACCACCAGGAGATCACAGCCCTGAGAAGAAAACGAGAGATGAGGAAGGACCCAAGCCTGCACCAGGGGGTCCTCTCCCCCACTCCCGGCTCCTCCTGCTTACCTGGGGTAGAAGGCAGTGAGCGAGAGGAAGGTGACCTCCCCCAGACCGGACGAGATGCTAGCCAAGACCACACCTGGGGGGGAGGACAAGCATGGCAATGGCCACACCTGGCCTCCGCCACACCCCCAATCCCCTGAGGGGTCTGGCCACGACCTCCTCTGCATCAGCTCAGATCCCCTGGACAGGGGGGCTTCAGATCTGAAGAACTTACCCGCCCCCCCACATGCCTCTCACAGGGAATGGGACCCCCTATCTACCCAGTTATGAGCAAGAACTCATCCTGGACGCCTCAGCCGCCCCCCACCCTCCCCCCCGTCATGGAGTCCTGGTGACTCTGCTCATCTCGAGCTCGTGTACTCCCCCCATTTCCTCCTATCTCTGCCCCCCCACCCCTGACCCCAACCACCCCCCCTCCAAAATGACCTCGTCTCCCATCTCCTCCTCATGACAGTCCCAGCCGGCTTCTGAGGGTTACAAAAACAATCCCTTTCCTCTCAGAAGTTGGGGAGACTACCCCACAATGCTCTTTCGGCTCCTCTGGGTTCCCCACCTGACACAAAACCTCACACTCACCGCACAGGCTGGTCCCCACTGAATGAGAAAAGGCAACCAGGAGGAAGCTTCCGGCAGCACAAATCCCACTGACGAGAACCCGGGGGCTGAGGGCGAGAGGTAGGGAGGGAAGAGGGAGGTCAGCCTCTGCCTGCAATGCCCTAACCGTCCCGCCTCTTCCCGGGCCCTCACGGCCGTCCCGCTCTTCGGGTCCTGCCTGCCCTTTTGCCGGCCACCCCCTCTCAGACCTGTAGGGCAGCAGGTGCAGACCAAGGGGTGCCAGCAATTTGATGACGAGGGTGGGAAGGATATCTGCCAGGAGCACTGCCTGGAACAGAAGAACGGAATGAGACCCCCGATGGTCCTAGGGACAAGCCTCCCAACCAAGTGACCAAGGGAAGACAGACACCTGCTACAGACACAGGCTCTGAGGTCAGACAGGTCTGGGTTGAAGTCCCAGCTCTGCGGCTCCTTAGCTTTGTGTCAAGAGCCTCAGTTCCCTCGTCTGAAAAATGGAGGCTGGGTAGTGCTTAGCTTAGCTAGCTCCTAGGACCGCTGGGGATTACATGAGCTGATGGACGCCACACACAGAAAAGGCTCAGGAAATGTCTTTATTATGATAATCATGACAGCCGCAGCTGGGTGCTGAGGGAGGGGGCGGGGGGTCGGGGAGGACCAGATGGGTACTCACAGCCGTGGAGACGGAGTTGCAGTCAAATCGAGAGGAGCTATTGTGGGGGGTGAGGGGTGGGTCCGGGTTCACCTGGCGACAGAGGAAGGCCTTTCACCAAGGAGGCAAGAGGTGACACAAAAAGGGCCTGGCTCCAGTGCCAGCTCAGCCCTGACTTGAGGGATGGCCTTGGGTCAACACTGGCCTCTTGGGACCTCAGTTTCTCTATGTGCACAATGGGGGCGGGAAAGCTTAACGCACAAATCTCAAACTAAGGACCCAAAGGTCTAAGATGGCCCCGTACATGGGCTCTAGTTGGGTAACACACTCGGGAGCTTTCGTTTTTTAAAAATTGAGGCTTCCAAATTTTACTGTCATTCTAGAACAAGGCACAGGTAGGAGAGTGAGCCGTATCATCCCTAAGCACCTTATTTCCTCTGATCTAAATATATTTATAAGGACCTCTTCCAATGGAGGCCTGGGTGTGGTTGCCACATCGGTTTTGGGAGTGGGCCTCTCTATGCCCAGTCTGGAAATGCATCCCTCTCTCCTGAGAATGAGAAAAGAGATTCACTTAGAGATCCACGAGGGTGGGCTTAAACCACACCCCCATAGTGACCCTTTCCTCTTCACCCTACTCCCCTTAGGCCCCTAGGAGGACGTCCTGTTTTTCAAAGCCCTGGGGCTCCAAGCCTGGTCTCATTTGTTTCCCTGCTGGGCTCACGTGTGGACCACCTGAGCACCCCCTGACTTGAGGATTTCAAGTAACTATTTTAGGCAGACATGCGAGTATGTAAATGCCAACGTTTTAAATAATTCTATGAAGTCTTTGTAGCTACTCAGCCAAGGGGAAAAATGGCTTTCCAGAAAAGCTGATCTTGGACCAAATTCCCTGTTGGACTTGGACTTGCAAGGTGGTGGCTGTACTCCTTTGGCACTTACACCCCCCCCATCCCCCCACCCCCACCTCCAGCTCATCATAGACGAGAAGTTCTTAACTGGAGGTGATTATACCCCCCAGGGAACATCTGGCAATGCCTGGAGACATTCTTCTCTCAACTACTGAACAGGAGGTATGTTACTGGTAGAGGACAGGGGTGCTGTTAAGCACTGTACGATGTCCAGGAAAGCCCCACAACAAAGGATTCTCCAGCCTAAAATTAACAGCGCTGCGGTTAAGAAGCGCTTTCATAGACCATGGCCCCACCCAGCCAACCTTTGAGTTTATATACGTAGCACCAATCGATGCTTAAAAACCCTTCCTTGCTCTGTGGTCTGGGAAGCTGGAACTTCAGTCCCCTTGCCCCACCCCTGGGCCACCCCCATTCCATTAGTTTTTCAAAGGGGGTTCCTGCTCTAGGGGGAGTCCCCCATCTTCCCATAAGGACTAAATATGGTGGTGGAATTAGAGTCGGTCACTTACATGGCTCTGGTTCCCAGATGCCCTCTGGTGGCTAAGGATGTCATGCGCAGCACTGAGCATCACCACGTAAGAGAAGTTGTTACAAAGGCCCAGGAGCCTGGAGTGAGCAGGATAGACGTTTTTCCCCCATCAGTTTTATTGAGATACAACTGACATATAAGAACAGATCTTAACCTCCTTCCAGGCTTAACAATCTACTCACAGTCCTAGCACCAAATTGCCCCTTCCTGTGGCCTTCCATCAGCTTGCCTGTTCTTCTCTCTCACCAGGCCCCATTTCCATTTCAGTGTTAGGGCTAGAAATACAGGCTTTGGGATGACAGACTTGGGTTCACATCTCATCTCTCCCAGGAAGAGAAGAGTCAACCTTGATGACTCTCCCTCCAAGCTCCCATCATGGTTCAGTTCCTGGGGGGTTTCTTACGCACTGATCCATGCTCTCTGATGTGTTGTGGAACAGTAGAAAGATCCTGGGGCTTGAAGCCCAAAGGACTGTGTTCGGGTTCCACACCTGCTGCTTCCTACCTGAGTGGCCTTGGGCTACCCACGTGTAAATGGGGACACAGGTTTTCCTTCTCACTACCTCACAGATTGCTGTGGGGATTAAAAGATGATCCTACCAAAGCCCTTTATGACCCACGAAGGATCTTTTCTTGCTTACTCTCATTTCCCAGAGCTGCACTCAGTGATGGGAAAGGAACTGGGCCCAGTGCCAGAGATTTCATGGGCTCTTTTCACAAGCCCACGAAGTGGTTCCGCCTTTCTTCCCATTTTGCTACTGTCAAGTAGAGAGGCTCGGAGAGGTGATGGGACTCTTTCGGAATCACATGTGAAGTCACGTCCAACCCAGTGCACCACCTAAGCCCTCAAGGTTCAGGTTAGCGCTAGAAGGATTTCCCAAGACTCAAAACTGGAATGATTTCAGGAGGTAGATGGATGGCATTTTAAAAAGTGTAGATGTGTTTATTAAAACGTGCATTAGGAAAAACACTGGCTTCCTGCCCAGAGTAGTGATTTAAAGTTTTCTTCTAAAAAATACACATATTTACAAATTTAAAGTCTGAATTCCTTGGAGTGAAAACATGAAGTAAGTAGTCCTACATCTGATAGGAGGACCTGGTCCAAGTCTGAAGGTGGGAAGTAAATTGAGTCAAGTCTTGGAAGTTTACGCGCTGCCTTAGGGCAAACCAATGGCTTCAGTAAATATTTGTGAATTCAGCTCCTTTTTCACAGCTCAGCTCTTTCTTCCCTTTTTCCTCCTGTTGCTTCCCAACTCTTCCCACCCCATTTTTACTTCTGCTGAACTCCTCGGGCCACTCACCAGAAACCCATCACGTTCCTCCAAAGGGCGCCCTGACGGTCCAACAGAGGGGACCGAGGTTCCGGGGCGGTCTCCTCCCCTGGGAGGGCGAGAAGAAGAGAGCATGACCCCCACCCCACTCGCAGGTGCACGAAGGCCCCACAGGTGTCCTCCCAGGGTCCGAGCCGGCGCCCGAGCCCCAAGTCAGGTGGGTCGCGGGGCAGAGGCTGTCACTCTCAGGAGGGTGGGCGGGAATACGCACCCTCGGAATCCAAAAGGCGCCTCCGCGAGCCCGCACAGCCTCCCATGGCATCAAGTTCAGGTCCCGCGAAGGGTTCAAAGTCAGCGAGAGTCCAGGATTGGCTCCAACCAGGCGGGTGAGGGTCTGCGACAGATGAGAAGGATCAACGCCCCACTGCAGGTCCCAGCTCCGGCTTCTCCGCTGCACTAGGGCGGGGCGACCCACGGGGGTCCATCTCGCGCCCTCGCACACCCACTATTGCCCCACCCATGGGACTCTGCCCCGGCCCCCTTTAAAGCAGGGGCCTCCGCGGTCTGTACCTTTAAGAGCAGCTGCAAGTTCGGCTCCGAGGTACCGCAGGTAGGCGGGTCACGTGACAGCGCCCGCGGGCCCCCTCATCACGTGCTTGGAGGTCACCCCTAACTTCCGGGTCCTCTCTCCCTCTCGGCTTCAGGCTTTCCTGGCCTCGGGGCGGGGGCCAGAGAGAGGCTCGGAGAACCCTGGAACCGCTGGTTTAAAACTGGAGCGGGTAGGATCGCCAAGAAGAGCCGTGACGTTAGACTAGCGGGGCGCAAGGTCTTGGCCTTCCTTGCCAGTACTAGTCATGGCAGTGAGCTGCTTCAGCTCCTTTCCCGGCCCTCAATTGCCAGAAATAAGTATGGCCACCGGGCTACTCTAGTCCCGGTTTCTGGCGGAGAATAAAGACAGCCAGCTTCAGGGGATTCTTATTCCTCTCTGTTGCCCTTAAACGGCTTCAAGAACTGAAAATCAAGATAACTCTCAGGAGAATTTCTGTCTATTGGCAATATCCAAAACATTAAAGAGATCTCTTTGCCCAAATTATCCCAGAACCAAAGAATATCACAGAAATATCGACCCCCTGGTTTTACACATGAGAAAACAAAAAAAAGAAAGTTGCTGGTAATGATACAAGGTTAGACCTAAAGCTGACGGTACAGACTCTTTTTAACAATAGGAAATAGAATACCAGAGGCAGACATGTTTGGCTCAGCAGGCTGCGGTGGAATTCCTGCCTGCATCAAGAATGCTTAAACCAGAGGATTCTAAGGCCCAAGATTCTGATTCTGTGATCTCATCTGGTTTGTCTAATTGGAAATTTGGAAAGTGGGGATCAGGCAGGGGATTGCGGGAAGAGGTGTAGATCAAAGTCGCTTCATATAGTTCAAAATAAGAAGTGATTATTCTCTTACCTTCCTCTAGGTGGTAAAGCAGCATCCTGAATCTTCTTCATTGAGTCCTTCCCCTGCTAATCTCTTCTATGGGCTTCCACCAGCTGGTGCTCACCTCTACCAGCTCTTTCTCACCACCGAGTCCTCAAACTACTGTTTGAAATGTGCCCCCTTTGGTCTGCTTCCCAGATTACTCAACCAGTGAAAAATGGGGTCCTACTACCCATGCGGGACCCTACAAACTCAGCAACATGTCATACATGGCCTCTGCCTTTAAGGAATTCACAGGAGGATGGAAGGTAGACACAAATAACCACAATACAAAGCTTAGCCAAGTTTTGTTTCACAAGAATGACTACACATGAGGGAATGGGCACTGGAGCCACCAATCCAGCCCCTTCTTCCCGTTAAGGAAGCATTAATGACCCTAAAATGAGAAGCCAAAGCTCTTACCAGCCCCTCTTCACTCCCACTCCTTGTCCCTAGGCAAAACAGGAACCACAAACCCCAGCTTCCTCTCACAGAGTGGCTGTGGCTTGGGGGGAGCAGGAAATGGCTGAGGTGTGAATACAAGACCTGAGTCACTTGAGCTGCTCTTGCCACACGCCCCCTCTCTCCTCCCCCTTCCCCAATTCTGAGGTCTGCTGCTCCCAGGTTTTTCTTTATGGCCTCCCCCCTTGCTCTTCAGCTCCAAATATGCACCTGAGTCCCCTGTGCGATGCACACCCATTGCCCAGCCCAGGCTGGGAGCTGCTGTGGGCATTGCAGAGGGTGGGCAGGGCCTGGATAGGGGGTGCGTCAGGGAGACACAGGGGAAGAGGAAGTGTCTTGGGCCCTGGGGAAGACTGCCTTGTCTCAGTAGGTGGGGGCAGTCATTTGTCGGCTTTCTGGACACACAGACGGAGACAGACAGGATGGATTTCCTCCGGCTACATCTCCCTGGGCTGCATCAGGCCTTGCGGGGAGCGCTGGTGAGAGGGGCAAAGAGATGTCAGAGAGTTTCACCCTGCTCCCTGGGGCCTCACCTTCCCTCCTCTCTTTGAGACTCTCCTCATACTCATGATCCCTTTCCCAGGATCAGGTAGCCTCCTAGCCGGATCGTTTCTGGATTTCAATCCCCCCCACCTCCATAGTCACATCCACCTACCCCAAATCTAGCCCCTTTCCTCTTCCTTCTGCAAATCCAGTTCTATTTCCCCTCCTAGAGCCCAGACCCCCTCTTCTGTGGCCTGAGTTCCTCTGAGCCAGGGTCCCAAGGGAGAGGGCTGGGCCTCCCTTTAATGCCTTTGTCCCCTCCCCCTTCCCTTCTAGGATTCCCTCAGCTCCTTTGTCTCCTACCTTATGGGAGATGAAGTCCCTACTGCAGACAGGAAGGAGGAGAGGGCAGCCGAGGAACTGGGGGAGGTGGCTGCGGGAAGGCAAGGGAAACCTGAAAAGAAGGAAGCCCAGGAGGCCCTGGAGGGCCTTGGAGGCAGCCAAAGCCAGGAGGATGGAGGGCTGAGAGGGCCCAGAGAAGCTGGAAGATGCCAGGAGGGAAGTTCAGCTACAGAACAGACCTGGGCTTGGGAAGAAGGCAGCTCCCACAGGTCTCAGGCAGAGAGGCAAGACACTGGGGTCCAGGAGGCAGCCAAGGCCGCCAGGTGCCAGGAGCCAAGGGCCCACTTAGAGGCCAGAAAGGAGTCCGAGGCAGGGTCTGAGGCTGGTCGAGACAACAGCAGCCAAGCCCAGGAGAGTCAAGGGCCCAGTGAGCAGGAAGTGAAGAGAGAGGAGACACTAAGAACCTGGGAACAGGAGGAGGAGGCGGAAGAGGTCAGGGAAAGAAAACCAGAGGTGGCCAGAAAGGCGGAGTCAGAGTGGACCTGGCACAGGGAGCCTGAGGGGGTGGTAGGTGCCAATGGGCAAAAGGTAGCAGGGGACAGCAGGGAGTCACTAGAACCGGTCAAGGAGGCAATTGCTGAGGAGATCCACGGGTCTGCAGCCAAACAGGCCGGGCAGGAAGAAGAGCTGATGGTGGTCCTAAGGGGTAGTGAAGGCCCAAGGGCACAGGAAGCACAGGAGTCGGGGACAGAATGTGAGGACAGGACAACCTCAGTCAGGGAGGAGGACTGGACAGCCTCAGGCAGGGAGGAGGATGGGACAACCTCAGGCAGGGAGGAGGATGGGACAACCTCAGGCAGGGAGGAGGACAGCACAGCCTTAGAAAGGGAGGAAGATGGGAAAACCTCAGGCAGGGAGGAGGACGGAACAGCCTCATGCAGGGAGGAGGATGGCCCAGCCTCAGACAGTGGGGAAGACAGGACAGCTTCAGGCAGGGAGGAGGATGGGACAAACTTAGGCAGGGAGGAAGACTGGACAGCCTCATGCAGGGAGGAGGATGGGACAGCCTCAGGCAGGGAGGAGGATGGCCCAGCCTCAGACAGTGAGGAGGACAGGACAGCTTCAGGCAGGGAGGAGGATGGGACAACCTCAGGCAGGGAGGAGGACTGGACAGCCTTATGCAGGGAGGAGGACTGGACAGCCTCAGGCAGGGAAGAGGATGGGACAGCCTCAGGCAGGGAGGAGGACAGGACAGCCTCAGGCAGGGAGGAGGACAGCACAGCTTTAGAAAGGGAGGAGGACTGGACAGCCTCAGGCAGGGAGGAGGACAGGACAGCCTCAGGCAGGGAGGAGGACAGGACAGCCTCAGGCAGGGAGGAGGATGGCCCAGCCTCAGACAGTGGGGAAGACAGGACCGCTTCAGGCAGGGAGGAAGACTGGACAGCCTCAGGCAGGGAGGAAGACTGGACAGCCTCAGGCAAGGAGGAGGACGGGACAGCCTCAGGCAGGGAGGAGGATGGGACAACCTCAGGCAGTGGGGAGGACAGAACAGCTTCAGGCAGGGAGGAGGACAGCACAGCTTTAGAAAGGGAGGAGGACTGGACAACCTCAGGCAGAGAGGAGGACGGGACAGCCTCAGGCAGGGAGGAGAATGGGACAGCCTCAGGTAGGGAGGAGGAGAATAGAACAGCCTCAGGCAGCGAGGAGGCTGGGATAACTTTAGGTAGGGTAGAGGCCAGGACAACCTCAGTTGGAAAAGAGGGTGACCTCTCAGAAGCCAGGATGACAGAATATGGGGAAGTCTCAGGAGAAAAGACCTCAGAGGGCACTCGGAAGACCTGGGCATTTGAGGAGGCCTCCAGGGGAGAGCAGGAGGAGGAGGTGGATGAGAATAGAGAGGCTGAGATGAGCTTTCCCCCCAGACAGACCCGGGTCCTGGGAACCGAGAGTGCAGAAGAGCCAGCTAAGGAGCAGAGAGCAGGGGCGGAGGCTGAAGAAGGCCAGGGCTCAGAGGAGGAGGTAAGGGAGGGCTTTGAGGTCCAGGAAGATCAGGGAGGGAAAGAGGCTGAGGGGAAGCAAACCTCAGCGATCAGGACTGTTCCAGCCCGTCTGGAGGAGGAGGTGGCGGCAGAAAAGGCCAAAGAGGAGGAAGAGGGTTGCCGGGTCTCAGAGGCTGAGTTGCCCAAGGACAACTTGGCAAATGAGCCTGAAGAGGATGCTGACCTCGAAGTGACCCCAGAGGCCAGCAGTCCTGAGAAGGAGTCCAGCCAGGAGAGGAGTGATGGGGAGGCTCAGACAGGTGGAGAAGCACAGGGGTGTAGTGGGGCGGGGTGGGGTGACCTTGAGCATGAAGTCACGGAAGGCCGGGAACCTGAGCTGGTGGCAGGCTCCCAGACCCTGGTGGAGCAGCCGGAGGAAGAGCTCTGGGGCGCTTTGGCCCTGAGCAAAGAGGAGACGGGAGGGAGCCCGGAGGAATATCCCAGGAACATGGGAGGCCTGGTTGGGGCAGAGGCCTGGGAGAACCAGAGAAGGGATGTAGAAAGAGGGGATACCGGGGAGGAAAAAGCAGATGCAGAAGAGGGGGAGGTTGCAGGAGGCCAGGCACTGGAGGAGGCCGAGGGAGGCCAAGAGTCTACGTTCCCAGATGTCCCGGAGGCAGACGGGAGGTGGAAGAAAGCCCAAGAAATAGGAGCAGAGGAGGGAGAGACCCTTGGAACAGAGAGCCAGGAGCTGGGTGGAAGACATGGGGCAGACGCAGGGACAGGTCAGTCCCTGGGAGAGTCAGATGGCGGAGAAACCAAGGATGAGGAGGTGGAGGCCGCGGTGCCCTGGGGGGCAGACCCAACACCCAGCGGAGATGGGAGGCTAGAGGAGGCCACTCTGAGCCTCCAGGACAGCGAGGACCCAGGGGCCAGTTCTTTGGCAGCTGAGATAGCAAGGGATGATGTAGCTCTGGACGGAAGGGCAGCTGGGGTGGAGGGAGGGCCCGCAAGAGAGGCTGGGGAAGCCTGGGGCTCAGAAGGGAGGCAGGAGGCTCGGGGAGGAGTGGAGCTGATGGAAGTTACATGGGGAGAAAACCGAGGCTGGCTGGGATTTGGCTCAGAGGGCTCAGCAGACGAGGAGGCGGCTGGCAGAGGGGCCCAGGCAGAGGCTTTGGAGGCCAGAGAGGGCGAGCCCAGGGGAGAGTGGGTGGAGGTCAGGGAGCCTGCAGTGGAGGGAGGAAGCTGTGGGATGGATGGCTTTACCTCGGGCTCCCAGGTGGTGAGGGCAGAGGGGACCAAGGCCACAAGGGAAGCCGAGGGGCTCCCGGAAGGACAGACGCTGTTGAAAGAAGAGGCTGTGGGATGGCAAATGAAGGAGCAGGGGCAAGACAGTGAGGGGCGATGTGGGGACCACCGACCCGAGGAAAAGGCAGGAAGACCTCTTGATGTGGAGAATGCTGAGGAGACTGAAGACCGGAGAGCAGAGGCCGAGGATATTGTTCCAGAAGGCCTGGAGGACGTCCAGGGCCAGGAGGACCAGTCAACAAGCCAGGAGCCTGCAGAGGCTGAGCTTGGGCCCCACAGGGAGACGGGGGAGACGGCAGGAAGTGCTGGAGGGGGTGCTTGCGGCCTCTGGAGTGAGGTGAGAGCTCCAGCTGGGGTCCGGGGCTGGATAGAGCAGAATCTCGAATCTGGCCCTGTGGTACCCTGTGCCCCTTTCCCCACAGGCCCTGCTCCCTGGGGCTCTCCTGGACATCTCTGCCCCCCGGAGCCGGGTCCTCCTGTCTCGCAACTCCTCGCTGCGCCGCTCCCGGCCCTCTTTCCGACGGACCCGTGCGCCTGAGCGGCAAGAGGTGCCTCCCAGCCCCCCACCAGAGGAACAGCTGTCAGCCCCGGAGCAGAGACTTCTCCAAGCAGAGGAGCCCCCAGAACCCAGACCCCCAAAACCCGAAGGGACCCCACTGCCAGCCAGGAGAAGGCCCCTGGGACGTGGGTAAGCCCAGGGGGTGAGGTGGCTGGGCTGGAGTGTGGAGGAGGCTGTGGCCACCTGGAGGCCAGCTCCCATCACCTGTCTCCCATCTGCAGGTTTGGCCTTGCACACATGGGTATGATGCAGGAATTGCAAGCCCGCCTGGGCCAGCCAAAGCCGCAGTGAGGGGCCCCTGAGCCCCCCGGGAGCCTGGCCCCGAGTGAGGGTCAGAAGGACCGCGGAACCCTGCGTCACCTCTCTCCATCTGCCACTCTGGACATGCCCTTTCTGCCTCTGGGCCTCAGCTTTTCGGTGTGTTATTCATGGAACAGACAGAACCAGACGCCCGTGAGAACCATGAACTTGAGGAGCGTGACTCGGTGATGAGGCCCACGGACTTCCTGGCCCGCCAGGACCACCTCTCATGGCAGGTGCCGAGCACCTCTCCCATCTGTCTTGGCTGTCTGGAGGACGGAGGGGACGGGACGACTCTCCCCGCAGCCTTCCCTCCCTGATTGCTCCCGGTCCCCACCGGGGGCCTTCGGGGGAGCTGTGGAACAGTCACGCCAACCCTGGGGGTGGGAACTGGCCCAGAAGAAGGAGGTCAGTGGCGCCTATGAGCTCCATTTGCAACGGGAAACAGAGGGGCACCAGAGGCCTTGAGCTTTCAAAAATCTCGCAACTCTGCTAGTTACCTGGAAACCACCAGCCCAGCAAGCCAGAATAGGGGAAGGAGCCCCCAGAATTTAGGAGCAGAAAGAGGCCCAGGGTGGCCAGAGGCTACTGACTCCTGTCCTTCAGGGGTCAGGTACCCCTTCTTTGAAAAGAAGAGGCCAGGGGAGGATAAGAGTGCTTTATTGGGCACCCCGCATGGTGGCCTGACCCAAGGACAGCAAGCAGGCTCTGAAACAATAAATAAACCATCATTTCCCTAAACAATAAATAAATATCCAAGAAATAAATATCTGCTAGGGACCGGAGGGGCCTTAAGTTATTGGGGAGGGGTTGGGGCGGGAAGCCGGTGGAGTCCTGCCTCGTTTAAGGCCCATGAGCCGGAAGCTGTCCCGTTGCCCGGACTCCAGTCCTTAGGTCCTGAAGGGTGAAGGGAAGGGGCTGAGAAGTCACCCTATCAGGGCCGGGAGTCGGACGCCGAGCATCCCAAAGCTGGGGCTGTGTGTCCGGCATGGGAGAGCAAGACCAAGTCCCTCACGGCCCGAGCCAAGACAAGCTCCAAGGAGTGCAGCAGCTGGTAAGTGTAGAGGAGTTGGGCCCATGACGGCTGCGCTGACACCTGCGAGGGACTCCCTGGAGCCCGTTCGAGCCGCCCCTTCTGCTCCTCACTCTCCTCCTCCTCGGGGAGCTTGAGTCCTGCTGCCAGCATCTGCGGGGAGATGCCCACGGGTCAGACAACAGCCCAGTTGCACCCGGGAGCGCATCCCTGTTCCTTTATGTGCCCGCTGGTACAGAATGATATCAGAGACCACAAGGGGCATGATATCCCCTGACAGCCCCTCCTTTAGAGCTGCCATTATGTCACCATCTCCTGCATCCTGCCTGATTTTTTTTGGTTCAGGAAAATGGAAGTCAGGGGCGCCTGGTGGCTCAGTGGGTTAAAGCCTCTGCCTTTGGCTCAGGTCATGATCCCAGGGTCCTGGGATCGAGCCCTGCATCAGGCTCTCTGCTCAGCGGGGAGCCTGCTTCCTCCTCTCTCTCTGCCTGCCTCTCTGCCTACTTGTGATCTCTGTCTGTCAAATAAATAAATAAAATCTTAAAAAAAAAAGAAAATGGAAGTCATAGAGCAAGTTGCTGCTGCTGCTCATGGAGATGCCACATTCATCCGGGATTGCCCTGGGCACTTGGGATTCCAGAAGTTCTTCTCTTAAGGGTCATCTTAGGATTGGAAATGGGCAGAGAGGTGGGATAGCTAGCTTTTAGGCTGCTTGCATTTTCTATTTTCCTTTTATTTTTAAGATTTTATTTATTTCTCAGAGGGAGAGAGAGAGCACAAGCAGGGGGAGCAGTGGGCTCCCCGCTGAGCAGACAGCCTGATGCGGGGCTCAATCACAGGACCCTGGGACCATGACCTGAGCCGACGGCAGATGCTTCACCGACTGAGCCACCCAGGAGACCCTATTTTCCTTTTGTTAAAAGGAAAATGCCAGTTTCCCTTGGGAATGTTCAGGAAGGCCTGGTGATGTGAGAGGCTGAGGGAGAAGGGAGCCAGGTTGGTTGCACAGCCTGCTGATGCCAACAGCCGTTCTGGGAGCTTCAGGGCTGTTCAGACCAAGACCCCAAGAGAGGGCAGAGATTCAGGGGACAGAGCAAGCTCCCCGCCCAAAAGAGGGTCTAGAGCATCTCCCTCCACACTTACGCAAACCTGTGTTTTTAAAAGGGAGGCAAAGACCTTCAATTTTTTGGTGTTGGTCTCTGGGTGTTGAGGAGGTGGGGTGGTAGGGGGGGAACATGCTACCTGGAAGCGTAGATGCCGCTGCAGATCCCGGAGATCCAGCCTCATGGTCCACAGCTGCATCTTCTCGGAGCTGGTCCAGCCCCCCTGGCTCCCCAGGCCTCCCAAGAGGACATGGAAGGGGTGAAGCATCTTGGAGAGGAAGCAGAGCCGGTCTGGGTCCTGTGGGAAGAAGGGAAGGGGTCAGACAAGCCTCACAGGCTGAGGATCAAACCCAACCTCATCTCCACCATCCTGTCACTCTCTGTCCGCAGCCCCACTCTGACCCCTTCTTTGCCATCCCCTTTCCCCATCCATCCCCTCACTTGTGTTTTTATCTTGTCTCTAGCCTCCTTCCAACCCTAGCCCCACTCCTCGTCCCAAACCTATCTCTCCTCTGTATGTACAACCTCATTCTCACACCACTCCTTTATTCCAGCTGAATCTTTATTTCCAATGACATACTCAGCCTCATCCAGATCTGATTCCTCCCCAAATCCATTTTCTGTTCGATCCCCGACTTCCATCTCCATCCACCCGGCCCAGCCTTACTGCCAGCTCTCCTGCCCCAATCCACCATCCACCAACTCACAGAGAGGCTGTGCCAGGCCTGGAAGGTCAGGGAGACATTGGGGAGCTGATCCCCCAGGGGCAGGAGGTCCAGGCTCACTCCTGGCAGGTGGGATTCAGCCTGTGGGGCAAGGTCTGTTAGTGAGGGCCAGAGAGAGTGGGGATTTGCCCACCCTCAAAATCGGTTGCATTAGGGAGACTCACAAAGTGGTGGGCCTGGGTCCGAACCTCGGAGAGCAGCTTCCTGGCGAGCTGCAGGCTGACCTTAAACTCCTTCCGCAACTCCTGCAGGCTCAGGGGGGACCTCCCTGGCGGTCTCGGGAATCCCCAGACACCAGCTCGAGCCAGGAGCAAGGAGAGCAGCAAAAGACCGAGCCCTGGAGAGAGGGGGAGATGGTTCTTTGAGAAGAACTCATGTGCCCTTTCTAGCCTGCGCTCTAGGCAAGCCCTGTGCACCATCTCGCTGACCCCGCACAGCCATCAATAAGATGGGAGCTTCTGAGGATACCATATGGCATCTCTGTGTGTATGGAAAGAAGTTACCCCTTGTCCAAGGCAGACACAACCTTGCACAGAGTACCCACCTTTGCAAGCAGATGTCAGGCTGGATCTTGATCCCTACTAACTCCCTTGGCTAAATGTCTTTTTCAGTGAACAACTTGCTCAACTGTATGCGGTACCCTGGGGCTATCATATTATTATATTTTGCAGATGAGGAAAATGAGGCTCAGTGAAGTTGACCAGCCCAAGTTCAAATAGCTAGAGGGTGAGGGAACCAGGACTGGATTCCAGATCTGCCCAAACGCAGAGCCTGGGTGCTTCCCCCAGGGAACTTAGAGGAGGCAGCCACCTCCCCTGCAATGGGCATGCTGTGTTCTGCCAGAGGATTCCTTGAGCTTAGCCAGGCAGCTCTGATGGCCTGAACTAGAGCCCCAGGGGTGGGCGGGCAGTGCTGGAGGCTCCATCCCAGGGAGTCAGAAGGATGGCTTGGTCCAGCCACCACCAAGGCAGGTGGGTCACTCTGCAGTGTTGGAAGAACAGGGGGTGCCAGGAAAAGGAGGAGAGCCCAGAATGGGAGGCAGAACCTCTATTTCTCATCCAGGTTCTTCCCTTGAGCAAGTCATCTATCTCTATGTCTCAGGTTCCCATCTATAAAATGGGGGAGTGAGACCAGCTGATTTCTGAAAGTACTTCCTGCTCTATGTTTCCTGGAAAGAAGAGTGGTGGGGGGGCCCTAGGGTGGGAGCCATGGGAAGAAGGCAGTGTTTGGCGGTTTCTCCATCAGGGAGAGGAAATCTAGCAATCACTGGAGTTACACAATTCTCGAAACACAAACCAAAACTAGGCTGTAAGTCTAAGTCTGTTCCTGCTCACCCTCCTCTCCATGCCTCTCCCCTGTCCGATCTTGATCCCTAACCCCTGGGCTCCGCTCCCCGAATTGTCCTATAAATAAAGACCAAGGGGAGTTTCTGGGTGCTTCCATTCACCAATGTACTTCCAGAGGTGGGGGGCAGTGCCTGAGACCCCCATGTTCAGGATCCCCTGGCTTAGGGACCCCTCTGTTATCCCAGAGACTTCTGATGGCGTGGGGTTCCTCTTAGCTCTATTTTGAGGGAAAGTGCGTGCCCCCAGGCTCTGGTGGCTATTGCCCACCCAGCACTGAGCTGTGCCATTTCCTACTGACCCTCTGCATCCTGTCTGAGCTCTGGAGCCCTTTCCCATGGCTTCTCCCTACCCTCTGTACCCAGTCCTGGGTCCTTGGCCTTGGCTCTATTCCCATCCTCTAGCCCTTGGTCCTTACCATGGCCCTACTATCTGCTCCTCTTCCTGTGGTTCTGGTTCCAGGCTCTGACTCCTTGAGTCACCCACAGAGGATCAGATCTTCCAAGCTACAGACCCTTGACCCACTTAGGCTGCTGACTCCTTGGCCTCAGCCCCACACTCCAGCCAACTCCTCCTGCTGTTCCTTCTCTATCAGCCCCAGTTGTCAGCCAAACTGTCTTGTCCCTGCTCATTCACTCAAACCAAACTCTTCATTTACATGCTTGGTCCTGGTCATCGTCAAACTGCCTGCCCACCTCTTTCTCATCCTGTCCTCTGGCTAGCCCTGGCCGACCAATCACCCCTCTGTCTCTGCTCCACCCTGCATTCATGCCAGACTCATTCCCATTCTCCAGTCGACCGTATCCTGTATTCTTAGTCTTGGCCAAGTAGCTGCCCCCATCCATACCCTTCAAGCCCTCCCACCCCCTGCCCAGTGTCAGCCA